GGACAAGCGGACATGACCATCGCATGAATTTTGAGAGCAGCGCCACTTGCTTCTGTTCCACCCCTCCTCCCTGCCCTCACCCGTTTCCCTACTACTGTTCTTGATATTTCCGAATTTCTTCTTTAATAGTCAAGTATAATCTTCGCGCCGTAAATGCCATTGAGCTTACTGTGACATGAAATTCAGGTGTGTTCTGATAAGCAGCGTCTGGTGAAACGGTCTCGCGTAAAAAAGTCCGATATCGAGCGGATTGGAGGTAATCCTGAGGTAGGTTACTTTATTTGATGGAAGTCGTTGTGAATGGTAAGTGATTAGGTACTGTACAGTTATTCAAATACTCGTCTGGAATAACTTGTATGGGGATAGTCCCCTTTTTTGGTATGTCGCGGCATTGTGTAGATTCTGCGCATCATCACACCATTGATAGTGCGCTCAGCCCCTGAAGTGTTCACTGTCGGCTCATTGGGTAGGTATACTACCCAATCCACTATGTAAAGTGTCCACTCATCCCCAAGTGGTTTACCGCGGCCACTTCCTTCAATGGACATGGTATCCTTTGCATTTTATACTTGTTGCATACATTTTCAATTTTCATATTGAATGGCGGCTCGAGAATATAATTTTCAGGCTGAAGAGGATGAAGAAATTTACGACGATGATGATTTCTATCAGGTTCTTCTGAAAGAATTGATAAGCAAGAAATCAAACAATACTCAGGATCCAGTTGCAATGACAAGGTCACTTCTTTGACATACCCTTACCAGGAATGTCTTTCGGGGCATGCCAATTTTTCAAAATGGTTTTTTTGCATGATATAGGGACACTTCCCGTTAACCTTAAATTTACGGTTCTTTTTCCTGAACAGCTCCCTCCTGAGAGACCAAAGAAGTGTAAAGATTTACTTCGGAGGACTGTCGTATTTACTGCTCATATATCGTCCACCCGCATGAGTAATAATTAAAAGGTTTCCGCTAGCCATGGACAAAATGGTGTGTTCGTCCGAGCTATGTGCTGATGAAAGTGTCATGGTTCTACGAAGTGTTTCGGTGCGACGCTCTATGCATATCCGATGCCTAGCGGATAACGTGAGTGGACTCTAATTGACTCGGTGCGGAACGATGTTCAGTTGGATTCCCTACGACGTTCGCTTTTGCATTGTTGACTGGCGAAAATTCATCACATGAGTCCTTAATGGTAACTTGTTTTTTGATGCCCTATTCTGTCAGGGTCAAACCAATGAACGCCTCACTCAATGCGACTCCCCGCCTACAGGAGGAACACGTCGCGGTCTAGAAGAGTTCGCGAAAAAGAACGTATTTGATCAAGGCATGCTGAATTAAGACCTCAATACATTAAGTTTTGAGCAAGATGAGATTTCAACTGATTTCGAAAATGAATACTATCCCGGCTGCAACTCGAGTGTCCCGACGGGTTGAGGGGAACTCGCGCGGAAATTATGCTACCCGTCTCAGCGATTAAAGCGGATTTACGCTACAAGTGCCATCTCATACGGAACACCGAGAAGTTCAACCTTGCTCTTGGACCTCCTTGCCCGTTGATTCCTATGAGATGACGACCTATCCGTGCCCGTCTCAACGCTATCAGCTCTGATTTTGTGTGTCGACCGCGCGCCCCTGCGCCATAGACTGAGAGCTTATGCTAGATCGCCAATATCCAAAGTCTTTCGCGAGTAGATCTCGCACCTTTTGAGGTCCACCTGTCCTTCACCTATACATTTTCCCCTCTTCACTTTCTCTCTATGCGTTATTTCTATCTCAACTCAGGTAACAAAGGTTCTCTCTTCATAAGGCACTTCTCACATCGTTGCGTTTTTGAACACTAGCTACCGTGACAAGAGCTGGAGTGCAAGGCGGAATTCACCTGCCACTGGTCGACGAGAGGAATAACTATGCAGTATACTGCGTCTCATACGTCATCAAGCTCGGGTGACCGGCCCTCAGTCCATTAATGGTCGGATTCCCATTCTTAGCGATAAAGAGTGGCTCGCTTTACTGCGTACTGTCAGGCTGCGCGCATTTAACAGTTATACATAGTCACATTGTTTTTAAATTCGGTCAAAATTTATTTTCTAAACTCTTGCTATCCGAGTTATCTAGTCCGTCGGTTACGAATGTGACATTCGTTTTTGGCGAGGACGTCATTTGGTGTCACTGTGAGGCCATTCGACGCCACATTGGTGTTGTTTTGGTGTCACAACTTCTTTCACCGGTTTCTTGGTCGACAAACACTTGTAGAAGCACCAATGGTTCCTAATTAGACATACCAGCCTGAGGCTGTCGCCATTTTCGCAAGATTTTGAATATTTCACCCTCACAATGCAAAAATTTCGTCACACAGAATACAACGGATCACTTCATCACTTCCGTTTGCTATTCGGGGTTAGGAGAAATAAACTAGGATTCCACGATGTGCTCATTCGTCATTGGAAGAACACATTTTGAAAAAGAAAGACCGTGAAAGACTTTCGATTGAATGATATTAGGTTGGTCCATAAGTCTTGCAACAAACTGGCTAAATTTTGATTTTAATATTTTTATTATCTTTTTGTTCCATTCATCCAGCATGCTACACACCATCAATATCTACAACCTATTGCCAACGCACTAGAAGCTGTTCGATGCCTCTCTTGTAGAACTCCACTGAATTCTGATCGAAGAAAGATCAGATGTCGATTTTGACATCATCATGGTTAGGATGAGCTTTCTTCTCTAGGAGATGGTTCTGGAGAGGGAAGCAGGTGGGCATTATTTGGCACGAGGTCAGGGCTATAAGGTGGATACGGAAGAACTCTCCGTCCGAGAGTCTCAAAATTTTCCTGAATTTTCTTAGCAAGAGGTGGTTCAACGGTGTCATACAAACGCAAACTTTTTTTTGCACCGTGGATTGAGAGAGCGTGCCCTCGCCCATCTTCTGGACTAATCCTTGGTGTAGCATGACTTGCGGAACATTCCAAGCAGTACTCGTAAAAATTAGGGCACGAAGAGCTTTTCGCGAAATCGGTGTAATATCCATAACAAGTAGCGAGACAACGAGCTGGATTGGCTGAAATTGCAAAGGTGGATGCTACGTCAGCAAACATGTTGCGGAATTCTGGCTACCTCAGCAAACATGTTGCGGAATTTCTGGAGTTCTCACAAAAATTTTCTAGCATTAAATGTAATTTGTTGCAAGACTTATGGACCAACCTAATATAATCTTATTTCTACTTTTTCATTGTTGTTTCCCGCTGTCTTTCCAAATTCCATTTTTAGACATTATATTGAAATGCAGAAACTGAAAAGCAAACGTGCTAGAAGAAAGGAGATAGACAACCGTGCTTCCAAAGATAGGAAAATCAAGCAAGTTTTCATTTTTCTTGCTTCCAGTGAAAGAAATGCGCAGGGTGCCTCAGTCGCTCATACTAGTGTTCTCATGATAACATATTACAGATATCTTCCTATCCCTAAGCTTGTGAATTTCCATCCAGCAATGCCAGAAATGGTAGAGTGGAGTCATGAAACACGGAACGAACTCTTTAAATCTTTATTTTCCTAATCTAATAATTGTTGTTCAGCTCGAGATACTCTAGTGTTTTGTTGTTGTCTGTTGATGCTAGAGTTTACTGAATATACATTTTATTTCTCATCGCACCAATGACACATGGTTCTCTCTAACATATTATCCTAATT